AAAATAAAATTAATTTTAGGCTCCATCTCTCTTATCCACCTTCTACCTTCTTCAACCTTTCTCCTCCATTGCCGGTGTCTCCTCTTCTCTCCATTCTTCCACTCTCCTCCAACCTTCTCCACTCAAAAATCAAAACGGGTTCTTGGAAGAACATCCTTGGTAGAACCTGATAGGTTCTAAAAAGAACCCAACCTTCTCCATGTTTCTAAAATTCCACCCATTTTGCATCAAATCGAATTCTAATAGCTAGCTAGTGTTAATATCAGGCTTTGCATAATGGATTCGTGAGAAGATAAATTAAGCTTCTCATGTTGAAATCTTTCGTCTTTAAATAAGCCAACAAGATAATTAATACGTGCAATTGTCATATTCCAAGAGAACATCTGCTTTGTCCATCCGTTAAACAATGGAATCACTGCTTTGTCCACCTGTTTAAAAATGGAATCACTATCATCCATTCCTTTTCGACTCAGAAGACAAGCGTGAGAAAGGAGGCGCAGACCCCCAAAAAAGGCTTCAGTGTATGGTGTGTACTGTATAAGGGCTTGTTTGCACCAAATTCGAGTTAAGTGGTTTTTTACCACATCTCAAAAGGTATAGGGGATTTTTTTGCCCTTTTAACAAAAACTATGTTGCAACGTGCAAAATCCCATAGTGCAAGTAAGTCCAAATTCCTTGGCTCCTAACCTCCTGCCCTGCCTCCGTCATAAAACACTCCAACTTCTAGCCATATGGTCTCTCCACTCCGCCGGCCCAAGATACCGGGGACAGCAATCTATGGATGACATGGCTGCCTACTATCCCCCTCCTCACTACCCCTACTACCAACCACCCCCTCCTCCGCAACCGCCCACGGTGGCGCTCCCTCCGCCTCCTCCTCCTCCTCCTCCTCCCCCAGGGACAGCACCACCGCTGCACTACCTCTCTTACCAACACCCACCTCTGGCCTCCTATGCTTCTTTTCTGGAACATCCTTCCCATAACGAGGTCCGGACTCTCTTCATCGCGGGTCTACCCGAAGACGTGAAAGCCCGTGAGGTTTACAATCTCTTCCGCGAGTTCCCTGGTTATGAATCCTCCCATCTCCGTAGCCCCACCTCCGGTCAAAAATCTCAGGTTCTCTTCTAATTCTCAAATTTATAAATTCGTCTCACAATTAGTATACGAAAACATGATCAATTGGTGCTTTCAATCCTTGAACCCTGTACAATACAATCGATTTTGTCTAACTAGGTTCTGCGTCTCTCTTTGCATTGTTTTATGGTAGTTTCCCCAAATCTGACCTTTTCTTGGTGTGCTGTCAGCCATTTGCATTTGCAGTGTTCTCCAATCAACAGTCCGCAATCGATGCAATGCAAGCAATGAATGTAAGAATGTAATGCTCATAGAAGGGTTAGAAAGAGTTCGTCTTTTCATTTTTCATGACACTTTGACCAGGACATTAGCAAAAAGGAAAAAAATTGAAATTGATACTGTGTTGAGATTCTTCATCATGTATAAACATAGAATGATGCCCCCTTGTTTTGAACATTGTTTGCAGGGAATGGTGTTTGATCTTGAGAAAGGATCAACACTATATATTGATCTTGCAAAAGCTAATTCCAGATCAAAGCGTTCAAGAACAGGTTATTGCCTTTTGGATTTCTTCTTCTTAATCTTAGGAACATGTTTCTGCTGCATTTGAACTAATTTACAACTGTTGTCACATATACTTGTTCTTTCTGGGAATAGATGATGAATGGCCTGGGTCAGATAAGAAACTTAGAGGAACGTTTTCAAGTGTTACTCTTGATCCTGGTAAGAATAGGATAATTGCCTTTGGCTATATATAATATGCTTTGTGGATCTTCATTTTAGCGCATAATTATTTTGGTTGAACTTATATAATTTGTAATGTTTTTTTCCTTGTCTTTAGATACATCACTTGTAGTTTTGCAATTTCTCCAGATATCATTAAGTTGCTAGATCTTAGTTGTGGTGTTGCTTGAATTATCTCTCACTTAGACTAGAAATTAATTACTCACCTTGAGGACACATTCTACCAAAGCTCACATTGCACGTGTTTTGCACGCTTGTACACTAGCAGGATTTGGCAGCACTCACTTGCCTGGAATGGGTAATTCTGCTTACAACATGATTGGTTATCCACCTACACAAAGGTCATCTGCACTACTTGCGCACATCTTTATTAGTTGAACTAGCACCTATTGATTGCTTTCAAGTGGTCATATCTAGCTGAAAACTGAAAAGTCAAGGGTTTGTGGAAGTTACTGCATGCCCTGTTCAGCGTTTCCCAAGTCAAAGTATATTCCTTTTAATTACATTTATTATACATCACCTTTCCTGATTATTATTCTATTTTTTTCTACAATCAGCAGTCCTGGAAATATTGATGCCAGAGTTGCAAATGAGACAACTGCTGTGAAATCGGTACTAGATGCTTTTATGCTATATATTATTTTTAATCCAATTTCAGAATTATAAGTTGCAACTCTTTTTCCTCTCTGTTGCAGAAATTAGAATTTATTGCAGACATCTGGACTTCTGTGACTTCTGTAACTTCTGTAGCTTTAACTGTCATTCTTAATATCTTATATTCAAATTCCTACTAAATAAACTGAACCTTTTTGCTTGAAGCAACCACACAAGTGTGGCTTCTTTCCCAAAATACGTGTGTTTATAATTTTGAGAATGGAAAGGGAGAAATTGCACAAGTACTAGTGACATGTGGGCCTTGTGCCTCTTGTCAGTACTCATATCTCAATGATTGAATGTGACCCTTTGTGGTTCTTTATATTGCATTATTTTTCAGAAGAGTCCTCTAGCTAAGGATGCATTTACAATAGCAAAGAATGATTTCTTTTATCAAAAACAGTTTCTGATAATTAAGTTTATAAAGGATCACTTTTGGAGCTTGGAAGGAATGGGGAAATTTCCTACATATTTTCACTTGAAATTTCAATTCTTTCTAGATTATTGTCTAATATAAGATGCTTGAAATTTTGTATTTTGCATGATGATGTGTGTTTGATAATAGCTACAACTGCGTATTTCTGATTTGTGTGGAATTTTTGGGCACCTTAAATTGACACTGGGCATCACATACTTTCACCCTTGTCGTTGTTACTTTTTCACCAATAACTCCAGTGATATTTTCTACATTGACAGAACAACTCTTCAGCGTCCAATCCGTGTCCAACACTTTTTGTGGCTAATCTAGGGCCAAATTGTACAGAGCAGGAGCTAATTCAATTATTTTCAAGGTTTGAATTTTTCCATTTAAAGTCCTTTTTCCCCAGTGTAATTTTATTGATTCTTGGCACTTCTGTCAGATGTCCTGGGTTTTTGAAATTAAAGATGCAGAGCACATATGGCTCACCAGTTGCATTTGTTGATTTTCAGGTACTGAATATCTGCCTCTTTTTTCTGTGCTGTTTATTGTTGTTTGCCTATTTTTCTTTCCTTTTTTTGTTTCCTCACTTGAGAGAGCCTGGACAATGATCTTTCTAGCTTATGCAATTTTATTGTTTGTTGACCAAATTAATGCTAGCTAATATATTCCAGTTTATTGTTGTTTGCCTATCTTTCTTTCCTTTTTTTGTTTACTCACTTGAGAGAGCCTGGAAAATGATCTTTGTAGGTTATGCAATTTTATTGTTTGTTGACCAAATTAATGCTAGCTAATATATTTCAGTTTAGGGGGGAAAAGAATCTCATATGGGAAAAAACTAAAACAGAAATTGGTTGAGTTACCCTCTCAAAAATGGAGGTTTCAAGTTTAAATCCTACCGCCATGAGGCACCATCAATTATCAAAGGCTAATTGGGTATGTTTGGATAGTCTCTGTGGTGCTGCTATATAGCAAAGTGAAACTTACCCCTTCAGTTTTAGGACTATATTTAACTGCACATTGGAACCCTTCACCACCCATAAAAGTGGTTGCATTCACAGATGACTCATGACTGAAATCTTACGTCTCCCAGAGTATTGCTCTCACATTTACAGTTCGTGCTCGAAGATGAGAAACTTGTTGGAATGACTCTTGCTTTGTGTTTTTATGGTGGTTATCTAGTGATTGTTGTTCTCGCAGCATTCCTCCATTTAAAGATTTAGGCCTCAATATAATTCGCCAAGCAAATAGAACTGCTTTGTTTTTCTTTTAGCCTTTTTCCATATTGTGTCTTATGAATATGAAGTGTATGTGCAGGACACTGCATGCTCAACAGGCGCAATGAATAGCCTGCAAGGCACAATTCTATACTCATCAACAGTCGGGGAAGGCATGCGATTGGAGTATCCTCCAAAAACAATTTTCATGTTCATACTCTTAATGCATCATTGATTTTTCTCATTTCTAGCGTTTTCCTTGACAACCAAACCAGATATGCAAAATCACGGATGGGAATGCGAAGGAAACCAAAGTAATTTACTTAAATTACTCGAAGGAGATCTGTTCTGTTGTGCAATTGTTGCTTTATTTCAGCTCATATCAATGAAAAAGATGGAAAATGAAGAAGGGAAGGGACATCAGTAACAGGAGCCATCTTATTCTCTTCGACGGAATTGATTAGCACCTTGTACTGAGAACCAATGGCCTTCTCGCCATCTTGTTAATGGAAAATAAATTTGAACAATTGTCTCTTTCTCATTTTTCTTTCTCGAATCTCCTCGACTTTGGTGGAAATAGATATTTTTCCTATCGGTGGCAACCTTCAGCTAAAGTTCGGTGTCAATAATTGAACTGCCTATGTTACATCCTCATGTGTAATCCATTTCATTAATTCACAATCAAATAATTGACGCAAATGTCAACTACAATGTTGGCCCCACCCAATGATAATTTCTTTTCCATGACAATAAAAAATCTCGAGTTCAAACGGTGAACATGTTAAAATGGATAAAATATATGTTAGAGAAGGTGAATATAGGAGTTATAACTGTATAAGAGTGTTGTTATTTACTAATTACTTATTGTGTAATTTAAAATTAAAAATAATTAAATAAATATTATTAACACAACTCAATGTCAAGATCCAATAATACCAGCGGGCCCTTGAGGCTTGATAAATGATAATGATAATCATAGCCCGAACGCCAAGCCTCAGTTGCCTTCACTCCTGATAATTGCCATGTTTGTTTGTTTTTTCGTTTTTCTGATTCTTTTTGTTTTTTATGATAATTGTCATATCCTAAATAAATAAATAAATAATAACAACAACAATACAAATAAATTTTAAAAAATTAACAAAAAATAAATTAGTATGAAAATATATAAAAATTAATTTAAAATATTCTTATTGTAAATTAAAAAAAAAAAAAAACTCTAGGGTCAAAATGATACTACCATAATCGTACCTAGAAATTTTTTTTTTCCTTTTTTTCACTCATTTGTTGACTTGTTTTTAGTCACATGGCCAGATAGCAATATTCAGAGAATTTGTCATTTGCATGTGTAGGTCTCATCATCATGTTGGGGTCCTTTTAAAAGTCAAACTTGGCACTCAAACTCCTACGTATAGCCCCCCTAGCATTCATCCATTCCTCACCTTATTTTGTGGGACATTTTAATAATTATTGTATGGGACTATTTTAAAATTTCAATCATGTAATGAATCAAATCCCTCTTTTGCATTTTGTGTAGCCTCCAATTTTGATTCCCTCATTTTTTGTACTCTGTCCCTCTGTATTACTTTCATCGTTTCAAATGAGTCAGGCCCTTCTCATGTTTTATTTTTTGCGGCTTCTGTGTTTCCCACCGGAGGCCTTATTAGGTTCCCATACCTTCATTTTTTTTTTCTTGCCAAACAAGCAACCTAACTGGATGGTCTAGACTTTAAACTTTAAATCATAGGTGGCAAACGGACGGATTAAGTTGGGTTTAAGCTGAGTTTATTAAGGGTTATGAGTTTTATAAATTGAGTCATATACAGGTTGCAAATTAACAAGTGTTGATATTAATCCAATCTTAATAGGTTATGGATTGACCTACAAGTTGAATTGATTTTGTTGAATGTTTTTTATTTTTTTATATAATTAATCTCATTTTTAATAATAATTTATTAAAATTAAATTATGGTAACTTTGATATGATTATTTTTTAATAATTTTACTTTTCTTCATTTGATTAGTTTAAGCAAAATGATTTATTTTTTGTGAAATATTTTGAATAATTCATTTAGTTTTCTTTGTTTTCTTTATTGATAATCATATATAAATAATTCAATACTTAATTTATAAATTTTAAATGAATATAATCAATTTCATTTTAGAAATTTTATAAAATGTAATGATCACCATCATATTAAATTTCTTTCAAATTATATTTGTTAATTATTTTACCTTAAAAAATTATCTTTTAAAAAAATATTTCTTAAAATTTTAAAAACAAACAGGTCAAATGGGTCAACTTGTGAACCCATGTTTGACTTGTGACCTGTTTGAGTTGATTCAAACGGGTCACAGATCCAATATTAATTGATCTTAATTCATTTTTTACAGATTAAGTTAAGATCAGATTAACGAGTCCAGTGAGATTTTGCCACCTCTACTTCAAACCCATATTAATTAATTCAGCATCCCTTACTTGTCCAAGAGGTTGGCGTAGTTATACTTATAGCCATGTTGAAAAGTGCTAGGACCACACATAAATCGTTAATTTTTTTTTATAAATAGTTATTTATGATATTTAAAAATATTAATTTATAAATTAATTTTAATTTATTAAAAAATAAATATTAATAATTTTATTATTTATTAATTAACCATTATAATTATCAATTATTTTTAATAATTAAATTAAATTGAGTATGAGCTTAGCACCTCTAAATATGGTCATAACCATTGCCCTAGAAATTTAAGCTAGTTAAATAGTCAATTATTGGTTATAAGAAATAATTAAAAATAACAAAATATTCCCTATATACTTCGACTATTATAAATAAAATAGAATTATTTATTTTTATATAATTTATTATTAAATAAAAAAAAAAACAAAAAACAAAATCAATTGTATGCTAAAATCTCACAACCTTATTGCAAAAAGGACACCATTGTTTATAGGTTTGTTAATTTTATGAGTCTAAGACTGACAGAGACTATTCCTTTATAAAAATTAAAATCAAAATAAATTAAGAAAATGGTTGGGTCGATGCTTAATAGGCAAAACAGCTGATTGGGAAGACAGGACGCTTGGTCGGTCAGCTTCTGCCTCAGAAGTGTCACACTTTTCTATTCCAAAATTTTTGGATCATTCATTATTATTATTTTAATGGGTTATAGTAAAACAGGAAATTCATCTCTGGCATTATAATTTGTTTTTAAAAAGTAATTTTTTTTAAATGTATGATATTTTAATTACATTTAATTATATATAAAATATTAATGCAATACAATTTATACCATAAAACATTATTTTACTTTTTTAATTGACACCATACTATTTGTTAGCACTTAGCACATTTCCCCATTAAACATTTGTGGTCCCTTATTGCAAAAGTGCTTGTACACATACGAGCAGAAAACAGCTGGGCAACCTGTGCCAACTAGTTCGCAGCTAACAACCCAATTAACATTATACCATTTGTTTTATAATTATAAATAGTCTTTTGCCAATAGAAAATTCTTTGAGTTTGGCATGACGGTTTGATTATTTCTAAGAGAAATCTTTAGTAAAATGGAAGCAATTCCATACACAAATTAATAACTTGTTTAGTGCAGCTTGTTGAAATTTTTATTTTTTTTTATTGTTTATGAGTGATAAATTTAAATTTTTATTGAAAAAAAATTTAAAAGTTACTTTTAGAAATAGGAAAAAGTAGTAAAAAATGAGTAAAAAGAAAGTTTATGAAAAATTTAAATTTGAATTTTTTGATCTTTTATTGTTTATGATCTTTTTAATGTTAAAAAAATATTTTAAAATGTAAATTTTTATGAGAAAAATTTAAATTTATAAAATATAAATAATGTCAAAAAAACTGAAGCAATAAATAGTGGTTAGCAAGTCAAACTTCTATTTTCGAGATTTTAAATTTAAATTTTGAAATAAATAGTGTAAAATTTGAAAAATAAAAAGATTATTATTTATTTATTTATTTTATTAATCTCTCAGTATCTGGTAACTACATTAGATCTCGATTAATCCAAATCAAGCCACATCGAACCCCATTAAAGAGAGATTCTCCTAGTGTCTACTTCTTCATTCACAAAACTCAAACTTAAAATTTTATTTAAAAAAAAAAACTGTAAGTTAATAAATTATTTTTAAAAATTCTACAACTCAATTTTAGGTCACCGCAAACCCCTTCATGATTTAGTAGTATAAATGGA